AGAGAGATAGATGGATAGATAGGTAAATAGATGGATGCATAGATGGATGCATAGATAGATAGATAGCTAGATAGATAGATAGGTAGATAGGTAGGTAGATAGATAGGTAGATAGATAGGTAGATAGAAAGATCGGTTAGAGAACTGCGCATAGGAATGTATATAGGCAAAAGGGTAGGGGGATTGGTAATTGAATAGACGGGTAGCTGTCAAAGAATCGGACACAAGGCAGGATGTAATTTTACTCATCTACATTGACATTAAAATCACCCCGGCAGGAGACCCCAAACAGTATGCAGTTGGGACTATAAAGGAAAAGGCGGAAAGAACTTGAAACCATCAGCAGCTGCAAGCTAGCAGGACCAGAGCGGCTCGAGCAGTGAAAAGAAGAGATAGCAGGTCAGATTCTGAGGTTTCCTGGTAAGATCTGCATTTAAGAATTCTATCAGATTTCTCTCTATGCAGATCTCTTTAATAGGCCTTTTGGCAAGAGCCCTGGACAGCTTCCTGTAGGAGATTTCATGACTAGATCCCTCTCTGAAATCCCTGAATATTTTTTGGTTAAAATCTCTCTTGGCAAGATGTATGTAAAAGACTTCTTGACAAGATCTCCGTAACAGATACCAATGCATTTTTTCTATATACGGTCTCCATACGAGGTGTCCCGACAAGATCTCTGTACGAGATCTCTATAAAAGGTCTCTGAACAAGATCTCTGTAACGGTCTTCTTGGCAAGATCTCAACAGATCTCTGTGCAATGTCTCTATGTAAGATTTCTTTCTAAAACCTCTGCGCAAGCTCCATAGAAGAGTTCTCTTGGCAAGATTTACGTAAGAGACCTCTTGGTAAGATCTCTGCAAAAAAATTATACGCAGTGTCTTTTGTATAAGATTTCCAGGAGAAGTGACCTGGCAAGACCTCTGCGCAAGATCTTGGTAAGAGGTCTCTTGGCAAGACTAGGGAAGCGATCTCCACAAAGGATCTATGTAAGGTACCTGCCTTTCAAGTTGGTTCCAGGGAACCTCTTCAAAAGGAACCTCTGCCACTACCAGCTGCTACCTCTCACAAAGAAGCAGAACGTAAGGTACCTCCCTCTCAAGTTGGTTCTACGGAACCTCTTCAACAGGAACCCCTGCTACTACCAGCTGCTACCTCTCACAAAGAAGGAGAACGTAAGGTACCTCCCTTTCAAGTTGCTTCTAGGGGACCTCTTCAAAAGGAACCTCTGCTACTACCAGCTGCTATCTCTCAAAGAAGGAGAACGTAAAGTACCTCCCTTTCAAGTTGCTTGTAAAGAACCTCTTCAAAAGAAACCTCTGCTACTACCAGCTGCTACCTCTACCCCCGACAAAGACGGAGAACGTAAGGTACCTACCTTTCAAGTTTCTTCCGGGGAACATCTTCAGAAAGAACCTCCGCTACTATCAGGATGCTAGGGTTAACGGATGTTAGGGTTAGAGGGTTTTAGGGTTCAAGGATGTTAGGGTTAAAGAGTTTTAGGGTTAACGGATTTTAGGGGTAAAGGAGGTTAGGGTTAAAGGTATTTTAGAGCTAAAGGATGTTAGGGTCCAGTTAGGGTTAAAGGGTTTCAGGGTTAAAGAAGGTCAGCGTTAAGGTTTTGCTGCCACTCAAGCCTTCAAGGTTTTGGAGGCTTCACCCTCCGGTCAGGCCTGGGCAAAAACCCTAAGCTGCTGTGCCTTGGAGCCTTGGAGCCTTGGAGCCTTGGAGCCTTGGAGCCCTTGGAGCCCTTGGAGCCCTTGAACCTCTTGACCCCCTTGCAGCCCCTTGAAACCCTTGAACCATTTGAACCTCTTGAACCCCTTGAACCCCTGAACCCCTTGAACCCTTTGAACCCCTTGAGCACCCTTTTGAACCCTTTGAACTCCTAGAACCCCTTGAACTCCCTTTTGAACCCTTTGAACTCCTAGAACCCCTTGAACCCCTTGAACCCCTTGAACTCCCTTTTGAACACCTTGAACACCCTTTTGAACACCCTTTTGAACCCCTTGAACCCCTTGGACCCCGTGAGCCCCTTGAACCCCTTGAACCCCTTGAGCTCTCTTTTGCACCCCTTGAACCCCCGTTTGGACCCCGTGAATCCCTTGAACCCCTTGAGTCCCTTGAACCCCTTGAACCCCTTGAACTTATTGAACCCCTTGAACACGCTTTTGAACCACTTGAACACCGTTTTGAACTTGCGCGCCCTTTTGACCCACTTGAACACCTTTTTGAACACCTTTTTGAACCCCTTGAATCCCCTTTTGAACACCTTGAACTCCCTTTTGAACCCCTTGAATTCCCTTTTGAACACCCTGAACACCCTTTTGAACCCCTTGAACCCCCTGGACCCCTTGAACTTCTTGAGCCCCTTGAACCCCTTGAACACCTTGAACCCCTTGAACTTCTTGAACCCCTTGAACCCCTTGAACACCTTTTTGAACCCCTTGGACCCCTTGGACCCCTTGAACCCCTTGAACCCCTTGAACCCCGTGAACCCCTTGAACCCCTTCAACCCCTTCAACCTCTTCAACCCCTTGAACCCCTTCAACCCCTTGAAACCCTTGAACCCCGGGTGAATCTTTGATCCCTTGAACCCTTGAGCCTTTGACCGGACCCGAAAAAAATTAGCAAGAACGAGCCTCGCTTTTCTAGCAAAGAACCTGTGTTGGTGCATAAGTGGCACAAGCCCTAAAAGTCTGGATGGAAGCTAGTGGCGAACGTTGCTTTCTGAAGCCACTAAGGAACTTCTTGGAAAGCGCCCAAGCCTCCGGCCAGGGCGCCGCGGAGGATTTGGAGGGAGGGTAGTGCCTGACGTTGCTTTCTGAAGCCATTAGAAAACTTTTTGAAAAGCGCCCAGGCTGCAAAAGCCTGCGGCGAGGGCGCCGCGGAGGATTTGGAGGGAGGCTAGTGCCTGACGTTGTTTTCTGAAGCCATTAGAAAACTTCTTGAAAAGCGCCCACAAGGCTGCAAAAGCGTCCGGCCAGGGCGCCGCGGAGGATTTCTAGTGCCTAACGTTGTTTTCTGAAGCCACTAGAAAATTTCTTGGAAAGCGCCCACAAGGCTGCAAAAGCCTCCGGCCAGGGCGCCGCGGAGGATTTGGAGGGAGGAAGCCACGACCAGGCTACTGCCCCCAGAATGCCGCCAAAGCCTTTGGCAAGGGCGCCACGAGGGATTTGAAGGCAGGCTAGTGCCTAACGTTGCTTTCTGAAGCTACTAGGTGGAGGATTTGGAGGGCGGCTACTGCCTAACGTTGCTTTCTGAAGCCACGAGACTGCCCCCAGAAGGCGTGAAGCCAGGCTACTGCCTCCAGAATGCCGCAAAAGCCTTTGGCAAGGGCGCCACGAGGGATTTGAAGGCAGGCTAGTGCCTAACGTTGCTTTCTGAAGCTACTAGAAAAGCTCTTGGAAAGCGCCTAGAATGCCGCAAAAGCTTCTGGCAAGGACGGCACGAGGGATTTGAAGGCAGGCTAGTGCCTAACGTTGCTTTCTGAAGCTACTAGAAAAGCTCTTGGAAAGCGCCCAGAATGCCGCGCTTCTAGCGGGCGCATGCCCTGCCATCGGCGGGGTGCTCCTCGGACGCGCTCCCCCTGCCATCGTCTGGGGTCGGCGGATTAGTCTATATACCTGTGTTGGGGATTCTGACTATCCATTTTGGGAAATAGTATTAAGCAACCAGTAATCCAACCCATTAATAGGGATTTACACAACCATTATGTTTGGATTCCTATTGTGGGATGATCATAGACCATTTTTGCCATCTTTTGACTATGGCACATTGGATTCCAGAAGAGTTCCTCATGGTTCAGTCATTTGTCCACTAACACTGGCAAACCATACTGGTATTTTGTCGCGTTCTGGTCATATCGCCATATGAAACATATTTGCTATCGATCGGATTCATGATGATCAACTACCCATGTCCTCTCTGGATTGAAAGGAAAATCCTAACCAGAAACATCCGGAAACCATGGTTTCCCCCATCAAAAAGAGGGGTTTCCTGAATTTTTTCTCTTTAAACTTTAAACCAATCCACCGATTTTCGTGACCTCTACAGCCGCTCTCGTTCCCTTGAACCTACGGGTCACTGGTGGCAGTCCTGGCGGCGGCGACTGCGGTGTCACGGCCACATGTCGGAACCTCATCACGGGCTTCCCGAAGCGGGAGGAGTATCCGGAAGGCCGGGGTGACTGAGGAATTTGATACCCTCTGGTAAACTAACAAAAAGCGAACTGGAAAATGGCCATAGAAATAGTGGATTTACCCATTCATGGCAGCGTGATTTTCTATAGTTACGTTAGTTTAGCAGAGGGTAACCATTGGGATGTAAGAATGATATCATTCTATAAGGATTTTTCAGATTCAAAAAAGGAATATTCACACTGCAGATTGGTGGTGGTGATGGGGACTTCTGAAATGTTTGGGATACCTAAGAAGGAATGGTGATCTCTTCGGTTTTTGTGGCAAATACCATCCGTCACTCCAACGAAGAGCTCAACCCTGCAATGAAACCGGGGGTTGGAAGATGACTTTAACCTAGGGATGGCAATTCTCAGACTTCAACTTGTACAGCTTATGGTCGTTTTTTGGCGCTTGACTTATGTTATGTGATAGTCAGTCATGTTTTCCTCAATCTGTTAGTTGGGTGGGGGTAAATCTTCTAAATCACCTAAAGCCATGGGAGGAATGGGGATATGACCGCAGCTACGGTGCCAATTTCTTCAGATTCAGCCAAGGAAAAAAACAGGATTTCCCTACAAGAAACGGCGATCTTCCGTAGCCATGTCAAATTATCATAGAGTACATGGTGGAAGATCACAAGGTTCCCCTCAGCAACTTCTCAAGAGTCGTATCTTGGGGACGTTGTTTGATGGTGCAAGGGATGAGAGGTTGATGTTTGTCATTTTATTCAGAAACACTAATTGAATTGAAATAGCAGTTGAGAAATCTCGTGTTTTGCATCACTTTGCAGTTATCAATCTATCTCCACTGGAGCTTCGACTCATGGCCATCAAGCCATGGCTTTGTTTTGCCGCGGTGCTGTGCCCGTTACCGTGGAGCTTCTCGGCCATCTCTCAGGCGGATCGCGGCGCGCGGATCCACGGCCACTTCCCCGACGTGGACGTGCTCTGTGTGGACTGGCGGACGCGGCCCTTGGCGGCGCAGATTCCAGTGCCATGGCTGGCCAGGAAGGTTCATAACTGGAGTGCCAGGAAGATTGTGGCGAAACTTGGAGCCGTTGAGTTTTTTTTCTTTTTTTCTTTTTTTTTTAAATTGAAAAAACACATGCGAACAAGAAATGGGGGAAGTCATCTGGAATCGTTTTTTTTGCTTTGGGGGGACCTCATGCAAATCTACAAATCTAAGGAAGAAGAAAGATCTTCCATCATCTCGCGATTTCTACAAATCTTCGATTCATCTGACCTTGTCGCAGAAGGGTTTCTTGGAATATCGCTGGGTTATCCAAAAGTGTGTCCCAGGGGCTGCCCACGTCGCCATCAAACAACCAAAGCTGCGGCTCCTGCGAATTCTTCTACGACTCTTCATGCGCGACTCAGCGCATACGCAGCTGGAGTGTGGCTTTCAGTCAGCTGGCAGGTTGAAGGTGTCTTCCAAGCTGCCCAAAAATCCAGGTGAATTGAGGAGAAGCCTCCAGGTCTATGCGCCCTACTCCAGTTTTCAGGTGATCTTGCAGAAGTGGGAGCAGCAAAATCATCCAGAGAAAGACTTCCGGAAGGCCAATGAATTTGCCAGGGAGTGCTTGTTGTGGTGTGCCGAACAACCGCAACGATTGTGATACCCCACCTCCGGCTGCGTGGACCTCGAAGACTGCGGTGCTGGCGGTCGCTTCGGTGAAGTCGATGGATACGTCGCGTGGCTGTATCCTCCGGAGGAACTGGCTGTCCTCTCCGTGGGTGGTGGGTCATCGCCTACACCCGGCCTGATCATTTGTGCAATAACTGGATGAAATAGGTCAAAACCTAGCCGTGGGAGGATGAACGGCACCAGCTATACACCAGCTGTTTTGGTGTGAAAACCACGGTACGGCTTTCGGTCCGTGGTATATGAGTCTGTCCAAACATGGGGCACCCTCGACGTTTACTGGCTTGGAATAGGCTTGGAACCTAGTTTTCCTCGTTAAAATGTTGGAGACACATAGACTGGCCAAAATGAGCAGTGTTGTTTCAGACCCGGACCCCGGTTGAAAATGGTAGCCGGTGACAAAGCTAGCCTTTATCTGATTGGTGGTTTGGAACAGTTGGATTATTTTTCCATATATTGGGAATTTCATACTCCCATTTGACTTTCATATTTTTCAGAGGGATAGGTATACCACCAACCAGTTTATGTATTGGGGATTATCACTGATCACAATTGATGAACATGTTATTCACCTTCCAGGATTTACCACAATGCTGATGAATACCATTCGATGCGGGCTTGGGTCAGTCATTTCAAACATCAGCCCCAAACGTGGGGAATCAGAAAAACATGCAGATAGAATCCGAGTTCCCCTTTGTGAAATCCTCATAATTCCCCATGAATCCTTGTAAATCCACATATATCCCCATATATCCCCATGAATCCATACAGAATCTTCAAAACTAGCCCTACTCGTACCAATGGGTCAAGATTCAAGATCGCACCTACGTCGGCAAATTTCAGGATCTACAACACTTCAAGTTGGGGGGTGCCCATGTCTATACCATGTAGTGATGCGGAAAGCCAATCATAAACGACCCTTAAACTTTGCCATTTCGATATGAAGGTTGTTAAAGCTTGAAACAATTAGTTTGTCATCAGGTGTACCTCATTCTCTGATGTCATCAGCAAACATGGGACAGAGATCATCAATATTAACCATTCTCTTCAGCGTAAACCTCGAGCAAGATGCTGAACTGATCGGATTTTCAATCCCTTGGTTTTTCAGATTTACGCAGAGTTCCTGCTTCAGATTTTCCCAAGTCATCCAAACCATTAATCATCATTATATCTCATTACCCTCTGGTAAACATACAAAAAGCTACTACCACTAGGCTTAAGTTGTATCAATCGACCTGAAGTCGTATCACACCTGCGTGCGCGCAGTGTTTCGTATAGATTTTGATAGTTCTTTATTTGATGGGTTATTGATTCGAACACTTTTTCATCGCTGTGCGCAATGTTTTGTTGACATGATTCTATTTGACCCTACTAGCCCTAGCGTTAAGTCGTATCAGCTCGTAGAAGTTGTATCGGGAGGCCGTGCGCCTGGAAAAAGTTCAAGTTTGGCATCACCACAACTTTTAGTAATTGGAGGATTTCATTGTTTTGGGGCCGTGCGCCTAGAAAAAGTTCAATTTTTGTATTGCGTTGATTTATAAAACTTATATTATATTTCATTATTCTTTCAACGGGGCAAATGCTGGTTGCTGCTTTCTGCTTGCTTTCTGCTTGCTTGCTGCTTGCTTGCTGCTCCTTGCTGCTGCCTCCTGCTGCTGCTGCCGCTGCTGCTGTTGCTGCTGCTGTTGCTGCTGCTGTTGCTGCTGCTGTTGCTGCTGCTGTTGCTGCTGCTGTTGCTGCTGTTGCTGCTGCCTCCTGCTGCTGCTGTGGCTGCGGCTTCCTTCTGCTGCTGCTGCTGCCTCCTGCTGCTGCCTCCTGCTGCTGCCTCCTGCTGCTGCCTCCTGCTGCTGCCTCCTGCTGCTGCTGCTGCTGCCTCCTGCTGCTGCTTCCGCCTGCTGCTGGTGCTGCTTCCTCCTGCTGCTGCTGCTGCTGCCTCCTGCTGCTGCTGCTGCTCCCTCCTGCTGCTGCTGCTTCCTCCTCCTCCTGCTGCTGCTGCTTCCTCCTCCTCCTCTGCTGCTGCTGCTTCCTCCTGCTGCTGCTGCCGCTGGTGCAAACATTTTGCCGAAAAAGAAAATTACAGTCTCGGTCGCCTTGTTTGGCGCTGGCGGGAGATACGGGCGGGAGACGCCCGCAGAGAGAGGGAATGTTTACAGAAGGCAGAACTTATGAAACATTCAAGCGGAAGCGGATGTTGACAGCGGTGTGCCACTGGGTTTTCAGATTTTAACGTTGTTGATATGATGATGTTGCCCATAGCTATTACATGGAAATCTATGTTTGTTAGGAAACAAAGTTAAAGATCTGGGAGGCCGTGTGCCATGGTGATTCCTAAATATATCCTTTGAAAACATAGTTTAAACATATGTGAATACCTCAGTGTGCGCAATGTTTTCTTCATTTTTGGAGATATAACAACATTCCTTGAAAGCCGGTGTGCCATTGGGATTTTGATATTTTGATGTGACTTTTGCCCAGTTGATGTGACTTTCTTCCAACTCGCTGTTACATGGGGTTGATGTGACTTCTGCCCAACTGATGTGACTTTAACTTAAACCCTTCGCTAGTATTGAAAATGGGCATAGAAATAGTGAGTTTTCCCATTGAACATGGTGGATCTTTCCATCGTTTTTTGTATGTTTACCCGGCCGGGTACATCCCAAAAAAGACACCCAAATCCACTGATTCGGTGAACCCTGTGACCGACCGAAGCCTGAAGGGACTCGCAGGGTAACTATCCCCGGAGGCCCCACGAACTTCAGGTTGGTGAAGCTAGATAAACTGACAATAAACTGACAGAATTATGTGGACAATCAAACATTAAAAGATATGAAAAGTACATGATGATTTTTAGTTTTCACCATAGCTTTTCACCGGTTTGCTGATCCGCCGTTCGCGTTTTTGGAGGTTTGGATTGCCTCTTTATTCACAGCCCCAAGCTGCGGAACTTGCCGATGGACCAAAAGGAGGCCGATCTACTTTTTATGGTTGGTCAACTCCACATATGTTGCAGGAGGGTAGCCCCCCCCCAAAAAACAGCAATTTATGATGGAATGTACAACCAATGATAGTTGATGGGATATATAAATGATCCAGCCAACTTTTGATATATAAATAGCAATCAATACAATCATAGGTTTATGGGGATATAGCGATGGGATGTACCAACCAATTAACTTGATTCATGATAGTTGGGTATGAAAATGGGGTGTCTCCCGCGATGACAATGATGTTCCATTGGATTTGTTGGGAACCATATCTTTCCACACAAAGCCACTTCTAGGTTTTGATGCGGATGCATAGCCATTACCCTCTGTTATTTTAAACATAGATGAACATGGTCCGTTCATAAATGATTTATGATGGTTTACCGGTTTACCTATTAAAAACGTGTTATTTTCCAGTTCGCCACGTTCAACAACCAGAGAGTAGCTATGAAAAATCACACCCTAAGGGAATATGTTCTTCATATATCCCAATTGGACATACCCCATGCTTCATGGCTTAAATATATGGATGATATATAGCTAATATTCCCCAACAATGGTGGGTTCATAGGTTGAAAATTGCCATTTATAGTTGATTTACCTGTTACAAATGGTGTTTTTCCTGTAAAAACTCCTGCAGTAAAACCACATGTATTATACATAACATTGACTGTCGTGCAGCGTTGGTTCAAAACAGTTCCGAGTGCTAGCGGTTTAATTGTATTTCACCCCATTATTGGCTGACCTGGTAAACTAGAGGTTATCAGCCGTAGTCTCACTACTTAGCTATGGGGACCCCAACTGACCTTCCTCTCGCCGTTCCGGGGTCAGGTCCATCGAGTGTCGCCGTGCCCAATGTGGCCGGAGGCGACTCCGCGCCGATGGATGATGAAACCATGAATCAGCCAGTTGTAGCGTACTTTACATTCATACAAAACAACATGTCTCAAATCACAAGTGGAAACACCCTGCAAGTCGTGAGGGAAGCTGAACAAAGGCACCTTCAGATAATGCATGGAGTAGTTGACTCAATCCGAAGAGAATGGTCAAGTAGACTCGTAATGCAAGAGCAGGAGTATGAGCAAAGATTGCAGGATGTAGAGAACAAAGCAATTGGAGCCCTCAATGAGGAAACTAAAAAAAAAGTTACTGTATAGATCAAATTGAGGAAAGGCAACGTATCACTAGTGAGTTCGAGGCCTCCTATGCACAAACGGTAGAACATGCAACAAATGCCATAGCTGCAACGAAGAAGCAATATGAAGATCAAGCTGCAATTGAACAGGCCAAGTTTATCCAGTTGAAAACGGAGTTTGAAAACTACAAAAAGGAAATGGCCGAAAAGATCAACGAAGCAGCGGCACAGAACCTTAGCCTTCAGGACCAAATCGATGACCTTCAGGAGCAGTTGAAGCATGTTGCCAAAGCGCAACAAGCATCCGTTCCGAAAGCATCCGTCCAGAAAGCCGAGCCAGCCACCATCGCTGGTGTGCCCCACTTCAGTATTGCTACTCCTAGAGTACCCGATGCACAAGCTGCCAAAGGCAGCGATGAGCCGATTCCAGAGTTGAAGACACCTGCTGTGTTGGCACAAGAGGCAAAAGCCAAGTTGGATGAGTTGCTCAAAGGTGGCACTCCCCAGCAGAAACCAGCTGTCGGTGACGACAAGCCTCATTTGCCGACGCATTCAGGGTTCATGACTCCCACTGAAGTTATCAAAACTCCCCCAAATGATTCCCCTAAGAGCGCAACCAAGCAACAGCAGATGATGGGTCCCTCAGAACTCATTGAACTGGTGAAAGCCTTAACCCAAAGGGATGAGAAGGATAAGCCAAAGACTAAGGAGGCTGAGATCATCAAGCTGAACAACATGCCCGCTCCGGAATCATACAGGACTTGGAAGAATTATGTGAGGGATGAGGTGAAGAGTTGCTCAGATCGTCCAGATGAAGCATGGCTTTGGCTCAACGAGGTGTACGGTCAGGAGTGC